TCAGCATAACGTCTAAATTAAATGGTATAATTTCAATTAGTTGATGTTTTTTTTGTTTTTGTTTTTATATTACCTATTAAAGTTTTCAACATTACTTTGAACAATCCATGTTGCACGTGGAAAATATGGTTTTTTAATAATAGATGCATCAAGACTAGGATGTAAATCACGTAATGAATCTCGAAAATGTCTTAAACTTTTGTCATGTATCTAATACAGAGATAAATAGCAAAATATGAATTTGTTTATATAAAAAAAAGACAGAAATACCTGTGATCTTATTGGATATACGGCCTAAAACATTTATCCTCTCGTTCCTTCCCTCTTTTTTTCTCACTACCCCTCAAAACATACTAATCATGCATTTCATATCATTATTAAATAAAATAATAAATGTTTACATGCAGTTAGTCATTATTATCAATATTTCAAACAAAAACACATACACACAACTCAACAAGATAAGTTCGACAGTTTTTTCAAGTGTAATAAACAGAAGTGTTCATATACATACACTTACACAAATGAAATCAAACTACTACGTTACCTTTGCTTCTTCAATAAATTTAACTGCAACATCATTCATATGTTCAATTTGTTGAGATCGAGATAGAATATCTTGAAATTGATCCTAAAAAAATATATTCTTATTCAATAGAATATCGAATCATAGATAAATATTTTTTTCTCAATTTTACTGTGACTGGTTGCACCAATCTTCTCTGAGATTCGATTTTGTTTATATTCGGTATTGGTTCAAGATTTTGTATCCGTCTTAATGTTTCATTAAGAATTTGTTCTTCTTGTTTAAATAATGGTTGAAATGAACGATATGATTCCATACTACGATATATTGAACGTTGTCTAGTGGAAAATAAAAATAAACATATGTTTAACTCTCTATTTGATTAGATAAACATTTAACTTACCGATTAATTGTTTCTGAACATATTTGTTTCCATCGTTGTACTAGTTGTTCACTAATTCGATATAAACGTTCATCTGGATGTGGTATAACTTTTGTCTGATGTAACATATCATTCAATATTTTTTCTGTTTGACTAATATGTACTTCTAATTCCTATGAAATATCAATAGAGACAAACATTTAAAATTTATTCTTGTTTTTTTAAAACACACATACTTTTAAATCTTCTAATTGCCGTTTCATTTGTAGTTCATCGGTTGTTACTGGAATATGAGAAGCTAAACGTGTTTCCAATTCTGTTACATGAGATGTAACTTCATCAATTAAATTCAACGCCGTTTCAGTTGTTTCAAGTCTTAAAAAAGATCATATCAAAAATATCATGATTTTTTTTTGTTTTTTATTAATAAAATATTTGAAACATTTTTACATACTTGTCTGTATAGGTTTTTGATGATGTAACTAAATCTTGTACACGATCAGAAACATGCTTCACACGTGAACGAACTTCATTTGAGTCGACTGAAGATGATGAATTTTGTACAATATTACGAATTTGTTGAATACGATTTTCTTGTGTTATTAAATCATTTTCAAAATCCTATAAATAAGAAAGAAAACATATGGTATGAAATTAAAAGAAGCTCTTGATTATTTTAAGCACAAAAAAGAAAATAGAAGAGAATCATTTAACATATAACAAAAATTAAGAATTTAAAAATAATTATAATAATTAAATAAATCATCATAATATCAACGATAGTTATCTATCGAAATACTACAAAGAAATAATACACCTTAACGTGAGTTTAACTTTATTTAGCCATTGAAAGTTAAAATTTAACACTTCGAGGATTAAAATTAAGACGAAAATGAATTATTTCATTCTTTCGATCGACAAATTAATGAATATAAATGACATTTTGATCCAAGTATAATTAAGAATAAAAAAATTTTCAGTTATTATACCAACCATATTACTAGATCGGAATAACGGATTTCATTCTTTTCGATTACCTCTGTTTCTTCTCTTATGACTTTTGTAATTGGTTGAAAGAATCGTCTGTCAAAAGGTATACGTTTTGCTGATGTAATATTGACTGTTGCTGCTGATGTTAATATTGGTGGTAATGATTGTTCTTTGAAAATAAATGTACTTCTATAGTTGTGTTGTTGAGGAATATGAATATTTTCTGTTGACTGTCCACGAATAATTGAACGTGTTTCTATATATTTTATATTAGACGGTTTTGAATAATTTAATACTGGACATGAGTCATAACGATGAAGTCGTTCAACATCGTTCACGTTTGTATTTACTCCGTCGATATCACGACGAAAATATCGAACATTTGATGCCGATGATGGTAGTTCATGATGTGAATGTCTATGATGAGAAGAATGATGATGTTGTTGTTGTTGAGAATGTTTGTTGTAAGAATGATAATGACCAGTGTGATGCATTGAAGTCGTTTTTTTGGGATCAAAACGTATATGAAGATTTATGCCATGAGCAGAAGTGGTCAACGACTTATTATATGGAAAAATACGTACAATCGGTTTATAATGAGAACTATGTTGATGTTTTGTGAATGATGATGGGGGTAAAACACGATCAACTGACGAATATTTTATGGAACATTTAGGTAATGTTGGACTTGTTCGATCAACTGATGAGTAACGAATGGGTAATGTTTGAGTTGTTTGCGAGAATCTCGAGTCTAATGTTGAACTACTACAAAAACTTGTCGCCGATGATGCACGTTGATAACGAGATATTGGAGAATTATAATCTGAATCATCATAATTTAATGATGTCTGTAGTGGTTGTCTTATTGAATCAGAATATGAAGAATGATAAGAATGATAAGAATGATGATGAGGTGTGTTTGATACTGCTGGTTCTACTGTAGTAATTTTTCTTATCGATGATGAATGTATATTTTTTTTTGGATAATCTGAACGATATGTTTTGCCAACAGCAGCAGAATATTGTTCCATTATAGAATTTTTTTCTTTTCGTTCAGTTCTTTTTTTTTATCTGCGTTCAATTAGACAAACAATACTGATGGTGAAGACAACCGTTGGATGATACAAATTAGACAATACAATTTACTACTGCTGTGGCTATGAGATGACGATTGTTTATTGAATCAATAATAATGATATATAAGCGTATAACACACGCAAAAAAAAATAAAGATTCTCTTTGTTTCTTTTTTCTTTTCTCAAGTAGGCGAATAGAGAAAAAAATACAGAAATGTTCTAAGGTTAAATGCCACCATCATCAATGTGCATGATGACATTCGACCGGTCTTTTCTGAAACAGATGATGATGATAACTGTGGAACCATTAATCTGTCGTTTCTACTTATCGAATTTGTCCGATAACATAAGTACTAGAACAGAAGACTGTCAAACTCAGAAACAAAGACGTTTTTTTTTTTCTAATACACAATGATAGATCCATTTTTTGTCCATCATAAAACAAGATACGAACAAAAAAAAAGCACTTATCTGATAGATGAATTTATCTATCTTTTTTTTCTTCTCTTTTTAGACCAAAAATATATAGAATAAAAAAATCTTTCTTCTACGTGCTTCAAGATCCTTGGTACTGATTGACTTTAGAAAATGTTGACGAATGTCGTTTATCGACTTGTTTCACACTATCAAACAGCAGCGCTTATCTCGGATGGAAGATGTCTTCAGTAGCGGATTTAGAATAATAGTGGCATCGATCGAAAAAGGAAAATGGCTTATTTTGTCTAACAATAAGTAAAATTATTTAGGACGTATATCGAAAATTAGTTTTCAAGCACAGGCGTATTCAATCTGACATACCCAAGACGCGTAGACTCAAATGTTAGCGATTTATCGCCCGATAATCGAGCGATTTAACTATTTCTAGTTGCAAATGCAGACACATCTAGTTAAAAGTCCTTTTTTTCAACTACTAATCTCGTTGACAACTAGTCGTGCATCCCGATTACAGACGAAATGGATCTAGATTTTTCCCATAGATGATTTTTGCTTGGATCATACAATTCTACAAATATAAGTCTACAGATTTCCACCAAATTCTGTATATTTCTTGGATTTTCTTTTTAACATAAATACTTGTAATACAAAATTCCGAAAAATTTGCATCGATTTTCTATTAGAAAAATACTTTTGCTAAGTCTTTTTTAAAAAAATAATAACTTTAAAACACATTAAAACTTGTTATGTTAGTTAGCTATAAAACGACGGCTTAAGTACTTAAAACTTTTCAGGAAGGTTAGCTCGATGTCATATTAACTAAATATTATAGACAGCCTTTCATATGTTAAGTAATGAATCCTAAGAATTATTCCATTGACAAATATCACATTTTATAATTATGTACTATTATGACGATATGAAGCAGAACACATGTTTTTCTTCCGTATTCATATTTAATTTGTTTGATACAACTATGTATACGTCTGTTGTATTTGACTATATACTCCTTTTCCTTGTAGACAAGAAAGGGAAAAGCAACAATAACAATATGAGAAAACAATATATAATTTAGATACACAAAAAACTAATCTGATTTATTTCCACAATAATATTTCAACTGCATCAAACAAAGAAAGATGTTTGATATAATTGTACTAACCATTCATAGACACTCAAGGCTCTTATAGACAGACAGCCAAGAACACACACAGACAGACACTCATCTAATACTCATTTCAAAATAGAATGTTTGTGGATGCTTTTCAAATAAATTTTGACAATCTAGTGATATGATTTCACCTATGAAAAATAAAAATTCATTGCAACTTCAAAAGCTTGCAGTCTTGTCTTTGAAAGATTTGTCACGTGACATTTAAAACTTGTTTGTTCATTACATGTATGTGGTATTAGTCTCCATTGATTATTTACGAAAATCATCTGCAAACATTCTATTCTGATATGGTTTGTAATTGTCATTATTTTACTCACCTTATGTTCATTGAATAATATAGTTAAATCGTCCGATGTTTTTGGTATTGTTGTCGTTAAACGAGATTTCAAAATTGATTTCAATTGAGTTAATTTTGTCTCAATTGATTTTAAATCATCATTGACTACTAGACGATTTTGCGATGTTGATGGGAGATTATGTAATGATTCTAAAAAATAAAATTAAAAATAAGCACAAACAATTAGACGATGATGATCATCAATAATTTACCGGTTAACATTTCAATTTGGTCAGATAAATTAAGAAAATGTTGATGTACACGATATTGTTCGTTTAATAATATTTTAGAATTCGAATTTGTATAACCAGCTTCGTTAGTGACAATTTTATCTAGTTGCTCGTCAATTTCGTTTAATAATGCCTTTCGTTCTAGTTCACTGACAGAGCAATACTAAATGAAACATCAAAATATGTTGTTTATTTTTTTAATCAATACAGTAATCTCTATTAATGCGTTTTTTGACTAACGTCTACACAATATACATGTTTAATTGATGTAATACTAAAACACGCTGAATATGATATATATAGCTGATGTAAATGGAATCAATAGAAAAGTCTGTCTTTTTCAATGTGATAGGTATACACTGTGTTACATTTTGATAACATACGGAACAAAAAAAAAACCTCTCCTAGTTTCCTACTATTACTCAAATGAACAAAAATTAGACACAGAACAAGTAAATGTTACGGTCTATGTGAAGAACAAATAATTTTTCCTAAGGTAAAAAATTCAATTTTTTATTCTTTCCCTCTAGTGTATCTTGATCATCATAAAAAAATAAAGAAAGAAATAAGTGAGAACACATCAGTTCAGTTCAAAAACTCATCATTCACATTTAATAAATAAAATAGGTTAAATATGTCAAGTTGTTTGAAACACTTAATCATGTGATTATGTTAATAATTAATAAACTTCATTTCATACATGTTTTAAGTGAAGGTTATTTATACCAATAAATTATTAGTTACTATGCGAGAAACTAATTATATTTAGACGAGGCGAGAAACGTGTATATATATTTAGTACAAGAATTGTTCTGTTGAAACTGTATGTTGAGTTACCATCTCATCTTCTAGATTTACTATATATCATTGATATACAAATAACTGATGAAACTCAATAGTTTTATAGCATTTCTCTAACTATCAAAATTATCAAGAATTTTTCCATTTTCTAACGGCTTCAATTTAGGAGTACAACGTTTTGAATATCATGGGAAATGTATTCGTTTGCATAAAAGCCAAAAATCATAGGACACGATATGTATTGTATTATTACAGCATCATTATTTCATAGTAGTCGTAGTGTAAACGTTTTATCATTAAACAAGCTAAGACTTTTATTCATTTGATTCAAGGTTACAGAATACGATGACTATCGTTTTTTTCAGAAAAGTTTTATAAAAGAATAACAACAAAGAATTGTGAGTTGTCAATACGTACTCGCAGCATCTTCAGATAGAATTAATTATTTCCGTTACAAAAAATTAAAAAAAACGCAAAATACTACAAAACATGATTGTAGACATAGTTCCAGTAATTCATGTGTTTTAATAGTTACTCTCACTTTTCATAATACCACCGATTTAAATAGTCCAGTAGTCTATTGAATTACTAAAACGTTTGACTTGACCTATGCAAAAAACAAAATTTAAGATACGCCTAAACAAACTGAAAATCAAACAGGTATACGCATCGCATCTTCAAGTATGTCTAAAACATAATTAAAATGTTGACTTGTACTTAGACAAAATTAAAATTTTGGCTGAATTTTCGTTATGTCTCTGACATATGTCCACATGTAAAGCTTTTGAAATAAAATGACATATCACCATAGCTTTTTTATTCATCCTTAAGAACAACCCATTTCTTTTTATTCTACGACTTTTCAATGAAATTTCTGTTAAAAACAAGAAGTTCTTAAAACTAGATATTGCCTGAATTAATATAAAAAGTTAATACAGTGAATTTTTGTTTTTCTTTTAAGTTGCTGACTATCATCATTTTAAGATTTTTCAAATAGAAAATCTTAGAATTTTTCAGATTCCAAGAAGAATCTCTAAACGTCATGTCTTTTTAGACATTACATTACAGATCACATTTACGAAATGGCTTAAATCCATATCATAGCAGAAAACTGTACAAACTATAAAATTTTATTTATAAAAAAGGGCAAAATGAAATTAAATAACTTTTGCCTTGGAGCAATGTTCCTTTGCAGGAAGAACATACATGTGTGTACACAAATTTAGTAACATTTTGCAACAATATACTGATTTTGGGTTAAAAAACTTTTTTTGTCGTTACTATCAAGTGGAGTAAAAATTATCGCAATAAAATACCACTTTTTAAGATTTTACTCGTTGGAAAAACTAGAAGACCAGATGAATCGTAGTGATTAAATTAAAATTTGTTTTTCACCGTTCTATTTGATTTATGATTAAGATAGGTTCCATTAATAAAGATGGATATATAATATACAGAAAAGAAAAGAAAAATGAAAAACAAATAACTATAATCTAAATCAACAGAAATGTTCTAAACGATAAATAGAATAATCAAAACGATACGGATGAACAACAACTCGTATTTCTATTGTTTTATACATAACTCAAACATTATTTTATAATTTTCTCAACATACATCTTCACATAAAAAAATTTAAGTTAAAATTAATTTTATTGCTAAAAAAAGGAGTAAAGAGAAAATAATTTATGGTCGTCATCAATCAATCATCCGTAAAATAATAATATTACCGAACTTCATTCATTTTTCATCAACATATCAAATATTGTATATAAATGTTCACTCAAAAAACTAGGGACAAGGAAATTGAATATCACAGTGATTTTAATTAAATAACTAAAAAATTTTCATCAGAAATTAGATCATACGCTGATATCATACATCAAAATGTCATCAAATGATTTTTTTCTCATCAATCAAGACTTTGCATGTTGCAGTGAAACATGTGCAAGTTTTTTTGAGCTACAAAAAAATGTGCTAAATTAGACGTCAGAATACAAACAGAGAACCTATTATTAGATGTAGTTCGTTTGCTAACTATTCATAAAGTCTAACAATCAGAATAACTCTAAATAAGTCCTATCCTTACGAGAATTACAATTAACTCAGGATCGTGGAGCATTTTCTCTATTTATTGAAAAAATCGGAAATCCTTCTTTACTTGAATAAGATCTTACCTCGATATTTTGATATGTCAAGAGTTTGAGAGAATAGAAAATCTTCTTTGATTATTAATTAACAGTGGTAGGTTTTTTCTTTGCAAAGATAAAAATAAGAAGTTTTATATTTAAACGAGACAAATTGTTTTTTATTTTTGACTGGAGGTCAATTATATAAATAAGATGAAATTGAAGAAGACGACGACATCACGAGATGAGATTGTAAGAAGTTATGTAAATTTATTTATTATTAATCGTAGAATTGTCATACTCTCTCTCTCCCTCTCTGTCTGTTGATGAGAGTGTATGCTGTACTCTCCCTATATGTTTAATCATTGCATTAACAAGATGAGAAAGAGAGAAAAAACACAGAGAAGACGATATATCTCAACAGCTAACTATTTATTGCTAGCCACGCTTCATATATGATCTTATTGAGTAATTTTAATATGATAGCTACCTTGTGTTATACAAATTGAGTATAAGAAAAAAGAAGAGAACGAAAGATGTTCGCTTCTTCTTCTCTTTATATGTGTGTATATGTGGTGTGCATGTGTGGATATGAATAAAATGAAAATTAGCAATAAAAAGACATGTGTTTGGCTAAGTATTCAGATATCTTCCATAAGTTATTAATTAATTAATTATATAACTAACAACACTTGGCCGATGGGAATGAGAGAGAAAAGAAACAACACATTCAACAACAAATTTAGTTATCATAATACACATGCTAACAATAAGCTATTACTTATTTGGAATTATACATGTAAAATGAAGTTTTCAATAATGGTTAGAACTCATACTTATGAAAATAATAAGCGCCATACATCAGAATAAAAATGAAATATTGGCTTTTTACTTAAAATCTTATAAATGGTTGTACTTTTTTTCTACACAAAAATGTACACTTTTATCGACAACTTTTCTATAGAAAACTTTATTTTTTTTTAACGTTTGTTAACTAAAAAGTTAACTAACTCTCAGAAATTATTCGGCAAGAAGATACTTCAATTTTATTTGATTTGATCTGTTTAGGGTTCTTCAATTTTCTCTCAAGATCGCTAACAGCAGATAGGAAATTCATATATCATTATCTAAATAAAGTAAAATAAGATTTGAACTAATATCAACATAACTTACTTTATTAATATCCCACTCCAATAAACGATTTATCTTCAATTGTAAATCATCTTTTATCAAACAAACATTAATATCGAATAAAAATTGATTTAATTCTTCTAATTCTTTTCGAATACTAGAAACGATAAGAAACAAAGAGAATAAAATATTGTTAGAATAAATATTCATAATGGAAGAAAAAGAAGTGTTCAGGTCTATTTTACTATGAGTTCAAGAAAGAAAAAGATCAAAACAAAAAATATGTAGAATGACATTAATTTATAATAAACATACGTATCAAGTTTTAAATAGGCTTCGGGACTCGGTGGTATTAGTTCAAGTATAACACTTGGTATACGATTGTTTGCATCATTTCGACGATGAACTAACCACCAGTTTGAATTAGAACAATCATCAATGTTTACTGTTTCACCTTTCATTATTGTAATCTAAATACAAAGTTTGATCGATTAGAAGTGAAACATTCTAAACATTATATCATCGATAGTTTTAAATAACCGAAAAATTACCTGCTCGAAATTATAAGAACATAAGACTATGGCATTTTTAATATTTTTCCGTTGATGGATATCTAATGGTTTAATCATTTGACACAAATGATGTAAATGTTCATATTGTTGTTCAATTGAAGCTTTTTTTATCATAACATCATCGATGCATCGTTGAATTAGATCAATTGAATATGGATGATGTTCATCGTTATTAATCTGATTCATACATGTACACAAGATTTCATTGACGTTATTTATTTCATATCGAATTGTATCGACTTGATCAAAAAACTAAAATAAAACGGAATTTGTTCAATAAACTTTATCAACTTATGGAAAGATCAAGGATCCTAACTAAATAAGAAAATAAAGAGAAACAAATTTAAGGAAGACCAGACAAAACACATTAGATTTATCGTACAATAACATTGAGAAAATTGAAATGTCTATTAGAAACAGTTAGAAGAAAAACTTCTTGCAAAAAGAGACACACTCGAGCGGGACCATCCTCTCTTAAGACGGAATATTTGTCAACCATAAAAAAGATTGTTTACCTGATTATATTCTTCGGCATTTTTCAAATGAATATTAAAGCAAAATAAAAGTGATTTTAGACGATCTAAGCCAACACGAATTTTGTTCATATACTCCTATAGAAAAAGGAAAAAACAGTTTCTGTTTTTATCGTTTCTAGACAAATTCCGTTACATACCTGTACAATTGATTCAATTTCGATATGCTTTTCTCGATTAATACTATGCGTAAAATATTCAAGTCTTTCGCAATCTTTAAGACGATCTTCTAATGATATTTCAAGATTCTAGAAGACAGAGCACATTAGATAAGATGATATGACAGAATTAGTCATCTACTTTTTTTTGTTGCATATATTGGTTAATTAATGTTCGATCCGTTATATCTGTCCATTCACGATCAATTTCATTTGATTCAGCATTACTTATCCATTTTAATAAATCATTTGAATAAGACATAAAACGATGCCAGTCAGCTAACGTTTGATTCAAACGTTTTATTGAACTCTAAAAACAAAAATTTTGATTTTTCCATTTAAAGTAGTCTTATTTTTTTTTTGCTACATACATTAAGATGAGCATAAGCTGCTTGTAATTCATATAAACCACGATCATACATATTTTGTTCAGAAATTGAAATAGAATGCTAAAAATATAAATGAAAAAGGTGTATACTAAGCTAAAAGTATTGAATAAGTTTCAACGTTCTGAATGTATGTCACCATCGACAAAAATAAAACATGAGATCTTCATTTATAGAACTCAGTCAATCCAGTTTGTGCAGAAAAAATTGTAACATACTTTATTTTGTTTGCATTGTTGAATTTTTGTTTCAAAATCATCAATAGCATTTGAGAGTTTTTCACACTGTTCAATATCTGTTATTGTACTTGGTAAATCAGATCCCAAATCAAATCGATCTGTTGTATTCTAGAAGACAAAGTAACTAGTAGTAAAATAATTCGAGTTGATATTTTTGTCATGTATAACAAACCTGTTTTTGTTTAACCCAATTCAGACAACTATTTAGATATTCGACAAGATCAACATTATTTTTGTTTTGAACAACGATGGGTGGATCTACAATTCTCGTTGTTGTTGTTATTGGAGAAGATAATTTATTTGACTGCGAAGGACCACTGAGACGTTGTTGTTTTGTAGTATGTCGAATATTATCAGAATTTAAATGACCTAGATGAATATTCAAGTCGTTTACGCGCCGATTGAGAAATTCAATCCTAGAAAGAATGAAATAAAAAAATTGAAAATTAAGTAGCATCAGCCATATGAGGAAAAAGAAATGATATTGGAATAAAAAAAAAAGGGAAATTATTTTGTTCAACTGTATTGTTCGGATAGTTTTTCATCATGATCTCAAATGACTGTTATATACCTGTCTATCAATTGAATAACATCAGGATGTGGATTATTTGGTTGTGTAAGTGTACATAATGATCGACAATTATTCAACGCATTATCAGTTCGCTCTTGTATATCTGTTAAACTTGTTATCAATTGACCTGTTGTTAGACGACTCACTGTACCATCAACATTGTAAAATAATGGTGACTACACAACAAAACACAGAGTTCTTTTCAAAAAATATTATCAATCTGACAAACATACATTTGATTCAAACATTTGTTCTATCTTGGTAATTTCTTGTTCTACTTGATTTAACACGAAATGTACACGCTCAATTTCTGGTTTTAAACGATCATATCTAAAGAGAAGAAATATATAGAAGAGAACATAAACCATAATTCGATTGATGATTAAAAAACCTATTCAAAATTGTTGTTAATTCATTCTCGATATATTCCATACTATCTTCTAATTTTTTCCATGTCAAATTAATTGAATTAATATCAGGTTGCGGTTTATTCAAATGTAAATTCTAGAAATACACAAAAAACAAAATGATTGAACGTCCTACATGACCAGTTTTAAAATGAGAAGACGAAAAAAAAATCTCATTGAACTTACCTGAAGTTCAAAATCAATGGCAACCATTCTTTGTAAAAGACGATTGTATTTGATCATTTCATCTTGTCGTATCAACTGAAGAGCATTTTGAAATGCCTACACAAAGAAAGCGAACGATGTAAACAATTCTAATTTAGATCTGAAGATTTACTTTTAATTCGTGAAGAGTCTTTTGGTTTAATACTTCACTATTGAACATGCGAAGTTTTAATTTAATCCATTTTAAAAGATCTGATGCTAAACAAGTGTATTCGTAAGATAACTGACTTTCAAGAGAAATCTAAATAGATAGACAAGATAATATGTACTACATAAATTGATACGTTATTCAAAATGATTTACTTGATCATAATTTTGTTGAAATGGATGTTCAGGAATTGATGGACAAATTTTATACAAATGAGATATATACAAGAAAATACTTTTTTCATCGGGATTGTCATTATCAACATCTAATTAACATCAATATAAAGACACTATTATTAAATATAATAATAAAAAAAATCAAATGTATACCTTCGGGATCAATCAATTTGGCAATACCATAGTGTTGTTGTGCTGTATCAAAAGCTATTTGTAAATTAGTATGATTAGACGAGCGATATGCTTGTTCCATATTCACCAATTGTGGACTAAAATACAATATAATTAATTTTGATACTGATAAACACGTTAGACCAAACACGATTCACAATTTCAACGATAGATATGACAGATTCAGTATTCTCTATGAAAAGTTTCTGTATGTAAACCTTCATTATAGGAAAAAACGCAATAATACGTACTTTTTTCGATGTAATATGGCTAAGAATGCACGTCCATCTCTCCAAGATTTTGAAAAATCATCAATTTTTATTCCCGGATAATGTTCACACTGTTTTCTTGCCCATATCAACAACATATTCCGATAAGATAAATCATCGTTATATATTTTCGATTTTTCTCCTCTAACCGTGGCGATTTTTGTTTTTATTGTGGGACTATCAATTAGATCTGATGGATTCAATTGTATATCAGAAAACTAAATAGACATATGTATGATATATTAAAGAGAACACAATTCGAGTTTTAGCACACGTACTTGAAAATGAAGAATAATCCTCCATATTAAACCAAGTGTTAGTTTTGGATTACCATCAACAATTTCTTCAGGACGAATATTGACTAAACGAATCTGAAAACGAGAGACAGTAGATAATCAATAATAAATAAGTAAACAAGTTAAATTATACATTATGTTGTTTTTCTAGACACGATAAGCACATTTCAACATTTTGTAAGGCATGAAATTTGGATGAACCACGTTCACGAGGCTAAAAATAGAGGAAAATTGTATACATTTCGAAAAGAAAAAATTAAAGTAAATCATATACAATTTGTCTAGAAGTAAATATTTCGAGTAATGTCATCAAATTATGACCATCACGCAGATCATTAAATAGATCAGTTATTTCCACATTTCCCTATAAAAGAGAAGAAGTAAGATTTTTTTTCCATATTAGAAAATGGAAGATATTTTAATTTAGAAGAGAGTTAGATTGTACGAATGATCCGCGTTTACTTCAGTTTTACTTAAATGTCCATTTAACCATTTTGTAAATGTTTTCTTTTGTACAGCATCCCGTTGATCTAAAGTCGAACAATAAAAAGAAATTTTTATAAATAAAATTTCTATAAATAAACACGTACCAGCCACTTTTAAAACTTTTCTATCAGCTGGATCAAGTGAAAATACGCCAATATCTTTTGTAACAAGCCAATCATCATCATTCTCATATCCATTGTTATTATTATTATTCACATTTTCAAAATCATCAAGATCTTCTTGTTCTGCATGTAATGGATTATAATTAACGTTTTCGTTCATTGTTTATTATTAAAAATTTAATAAGACATAAGAATAAATACACATATAAAAAATGGCTTATTTTCTAAAAAATTTCTATATAAAATAAATATATATATATATTTATATATGTATCATACTAAAATGCATAAGAAAAATAAAATAATTAAATGGTGTAAAAATATAAGTTAAAACAATGCTTGAGAACAAATCGCATTATCAACACTTTGCGTACGGTGATGAAGAAAGTTCAAAAAAAAAGACCGACTAAACTATTACATTAACATGATCATGATCAAACAGAATAAACTGAACTATTAATATTGAACTCTATGAAAAAAATTTAATTTTCAATGACTATAAAATGAAAATTATCTGTCACAAATATAGAAAATAATTCTAGCGTGAAAAATACTATCAACCTGTATTATCATGATAAAAATTGTAATGGAAAAGAAAAAGTTAATTAATTTTTCAAAGGATACAACTTTCATTCTATCAATCATTTCTTCTGGGTAGAATATTATTGCTCTTTTTATTCTTTTCCACAACACAGCTGACTAACAATAAATTGGTTCAACTTAATTGTAGAACTGTAGTTGTCCTTACTAATACTAGCACAGATAAATAATGATGTAGTCATTTATAATAAAGATGAACAGGTGTCTTATATTGTCGTGTACAATGGAAATAAATTTGCTCGTATGAAGGACAAAAAGTTCCTATAGTTTTTATGACATTAGATGAATTTTTGTTGTAAAACGAATATTAAATGCAATCAGATCCATTGATACTTCAATTAATTGAGAACACAATTTTATCAGACTTATTTCATTTTGGTAAAATCAACATTTTTGTTTAGAAAAAAGATAAAATGTACAGGTAGAAAATTAGTTGAATCCACTTTTTTTTCTTAGGCAAGCTTAAAATGGTTGATTTACTTCTGTTTCTAACCAAACTTTGTGCTCATTTTTTTCCTTTCGACTACACACACACTGACAATGGAACCTTTTTCTAACATTACTGTCGCGTATAATTCTAACATATCTCTACTTTTCTCTCTCTCTTTCTCCCTCCTTTATTTAAATAGGGCATAACATCATGTATATGTGTAATCAAAACGTTATATTCCTCTCCTAATATTCAAATGAACCTATAGCGAATAATCAAGGTCTAGATTCGAAGAAGAAAAGAAGAGACTGAATGAATATACGCAGCACAAAAAATTAATCATTTAACTTTTATCCTTTTGTCTTCCTGTTTACAGACTGATTACCCCCCCATTCAGATATGAACAGAATAAGCAAAACAAATAAAAGTACAGGCAAACAAAAAAACACAATCTCCAAAGGCTTTAATCAAAGTTTCATAAATAAAAATCACTAGTTTTGTATTTCCTCGATTAGTCGAAAGACGAGATATTTTTTTTAGAAAAACTCCAAAATCTGACAATTCGTTTGCTTTTTTTCGATTTAAACAGGTAGACACGTTTATACATTCATAATGAAATGTGAAAAAAAAATAACGTCTCACATCGCATGTACTGAAAATCTTTTTTCTTTTTCTTTAATCATGACAGATCATTCACTCATCTAAAACACTAAACGGTTTTAATAGTAGTACAATATAAAATTAAAAAAATTCACAACACGTTCATAATTTTAGATTTTTTTTTTTCTGTTGAAAGTATAAAGAGCAAGCGGAAACAGAAAATATGAATAATTTTTTGATAAGTTTCTCAAAGATCTCTCTCTATAAAACAATATATAACACGTTCTCTCAAACGATACAGAGTTTATGTATAGAGACAAAACAATATGTAATTGAATTATTCTTTAGTTATCTCTTATTCGATGACAACTTGGCCTATGTATATATATCAATCAACGCTTGGTAAATGAAACAGATGTAGAAGAAAGTTTACCTTAATTTTATCACTAGCACACAGACAAACATACACAGTTTTATAAATCTTATTAAGCTTTCTTTCTACAATAAGAATACACATAAAAGTGTGAACAATTATATTTTCATACATATCACTACTCTACATCTATATTCTTTATTGTACAAATATTATTTTAAGACGTAAAGAAAAATAGGATAGAAGTCCATATCGAACGACAGGGAACGTACAAATATTAAATGTGAAGGACATTTATCAATCAGGATACCTTTAACTCTACAATAATGAAAGTTTTGAACAGATCTTCATACAGAATAGACTAAACACTTATCGTGCAGGAAAATATGCACAACAATTCAACAAAGCCTTTCAAACCTTAGTATGTTTAAAAACAAGTTCATATAGTAACATTCAACAATAGTTGATACTAGTCCACTTCATTCGACATATTGCTAGTCAACTTTGAAAAGGACTACGTGCTTGAAATTTAACGAATTTATTTTCTTTTTGCTCAACACGCGTCACTTTTCTCGTTGATATACCTACGTTTTAATTCATTATAATGTCTGTTGACACAGTACTCACATCTTCAAATTATTTTTGTTTCATTCTATGATATTCTGATATGTCTGTCATCGTGTATATATCCAGAAATTTCAAGAAAGAAGTAAAAAATAAGTGGCAATAATATTGTTTACGCATGTTAAGACTGTATGTATATCTTTTTCAAGTTTCATGGAAAAATAAAATAAGATCAAATTATTGACGTTCACTTCCCCATCGTCTCTCTTTTTACTATCTTCTATGATTATGCCATACACGCTCATTCAACAAGAAGAAAAAGAACGTTAAAGTGTAAAATTTTTATCGATTCAGAGCACTTTGCATACATAGTTCAATACTACTGTATACCGTGCACTGTATGATGTTAAATAAGGTAGAGAAAGAGAAAGAGAGACCATAAAAGACATTGTAAACTGATCTGTCTACAAGTCAGCATGATTGTTTAAATTTAATTTCTGTTTAAAGATATAATGTCGAAAACACAGAGGATTAAAGGCAAAAGCGAAGACGAATACCCTCTAAAACTACTAATATATACTATCATTTAAATATAGAGAAGAAGTTAGTCTCACTAACTCTTCCTTACTCTCTGCAATAATTTAAGATGTTGCTGCAATGATTAGAAAAGCTTGAATAAACGAAGTGAACATTAATATCCTTCGTAGAAGAGTAGCATCATGATAAGTACTACAATTGATCTGAAAATTCACCCTTAAAAGCATTGTAAGAAGGTAGTGACAAAGCACAACAATATTTTCAAAGAAATGGAGATTAATGCATTAAGCGAATATAAATTATGCAAACAATATAGGATAGATTGATTAATAGCGTTGATGTTATAAAGAACAAACAATTAAACAACCATCACTAAATAATTTGTAAGTGATTAATCTACAAAAAGCAGAATGTATAAATGTAGCAGCAAAACTAGAAATAAAGAAAAGCCAAAGAGAGAAGAACTGTATTAAAACTTTTCCAATTTTGCATTATTTAACCGTTCTATACAGCTATGCTTTTGTTTTATTGTAATTGTTGATGCTCGATATTTTGTTTTATTACAGGAAAAAGCCTTTGTAACAATTAAACGGATAAAAAACAAAAGCAAAAATTTCTGCTTCTTCACTTGTATTTCCGTTGTCACATTTTCTTCTTCATCTTCTTAAACATTGAAACATCCATATTGTTTTAATACTTCAATATGTTTTTCTGCTTTTTTTGTTATAGCTTGTTTGGCAGTTGTTTTTATTTTCTTTAAGCTACGTTGTCTTACATAATAATGTTTTGCTTTTATTTTACGTTTTTTTTCTAATGTTTCTACAACATCATTATATTTCCATCCGACTTCATTTGATAAACGTCCTAATTCACAAAATCGTCGTCGTGGTTTCAATCGTAATGTACGTAAGGCTGATGGAACAATCATACGTTTCTTCTTATCATATGGTGCTGGGATACCTTCAAATGTTTTTAATCGTAGTAATGCTTGTTTACCACGTTCTGTTTTATGCGGTACCATACCACGGACAATACGTGAAAAGATTTTTGATGGTGCACGAAAATGAAATGGACCGCGTGCTGGATTTATATTACAACGTTTACGTAAGAATCGAAGATATTTCAATTTGTTACGATAAAAACTGCCAGAAATATTCATACCTTCACAGCGAACAACAACAATACTATGGCCTTGTAGAGTTGATTTAGCTACAATGCTAGCCAAACGACCGATTAAATGACCACGGCCATCTATGATTAAAGGAGCAGCTCTAAATCCTGTAGGTTGAAGCTAAAAAATTATAAAAGATAATGGTAAAGTTGTTCTGAATAAGAACACTCTTGCCTCTTGTAAAAAAGATAATTGTAAAACACTGTATCTGTCTAGATATCCGCTACACAACGGATAAAGGCAAATTAGTTAGTACGCTCATTTTTGAGACAAATATACTCCTACTTAGGCCTGTAAAAGTTCACGTTTCATTCCTTGAACGTGAACGCTAAAGCACTTGTGAACATGATCTTTTTTTATACGGTGTTCATATTGTCTGACGTAAATATAAAATTCTATTCTTGTACTGTAGTAAGAACATATGTATTTGATCTTATATATTGATCTTATCTGAGCAATAGAAACTCTAGTGAACAATTAGATGGTCTGCTCAGGGCAGTGACTAGATTATTGCAATGTAAAAGGGTTAGTCGTTGATTCTCCGATCAAGACACTGATTTTTCCAAGAGCAGATCGCCGATTTCCTGACCAGAAAACGGTTTTTTCCTGCAGTGGAACTGAAGTTCCTTGGTTGAAACCATTTCAGCAACTACATACGTTTTCCTTTGTTCTTGTAACCCACTTGGGGCAAACAAGCGTTGATTTTTCACTAAATATAACTGGTAATGCAGAAAGCTGTTTCACTTGATCTACTACTAGGTGAAATTGTTATATAACGTTTTGCCATACTATTCATTCCACATAAGATCAACACCGTTCATATAAAATAAAGTTCACGTTCACCAGAACATTCACGTTCAAAAAATGTCATGTTTAGCGTTCGCGTTCCCTGAACGCTAAACATGCATTTTTCGAACGTGCTTTAGAGCGTACTTTCAAAGAGAACGCTAAAAAGGAAATCTGAACTTTTGCAGGCCTACTCCTGCCCCTTCATGAGATAAAACAGTACCTGATTCACTTTTTTTTTGCAGAATATTCTGACACAGTTTGATCTCCTCAACTTCTCCCGCTTCATTAAATCTCTGTCGTCGTGCTAAGTGAAATGCATTAAAACTCAGAGATGCAAAAGACTCACGATATTCTTTCTTGCACGGATCGACATGTTGATCTTTCTTTTTTGATGAACAGTAAATCTGAAGAAAAGAAACAAAAACATCTTACGTTTAAATTCTACGAGTCATTGCGATACTTGAAAAATCATTTAGGTTTCATACGTTCCATTTATACGTTTATACATCGAGAATTAAAATTAATATTCTGTTAAATCGTCAAAAGAAAAAAATTGTTGAAGAAACCTCCACATATACACTTATCATCTACTTTGTGTTAGAAAATCAAAACTGAGTCACTAAACTCATCTGCTTTTCACGCTGTGTATGTGTATTATTACCGACGTCAAAACCAAGAGGAATCAAGAAAAGGAGAAAACCAGTAGGAATTCAAAATATTTAGATTGAGCCCAAGTCTAACTTCCAGTCATAGCATATACTAACCAGTAATAACTTAATTCTCCGAATGAGAGATGACTACAGCTTGCCAGTTCTGCAATTTTCGATTGGTTTTTCCTACAGTCAAATGCCATAGTGTTGATTTTAACCACTGCCTTTAATTTCGTTTCAACGAATCTGTCGTCTCCTAATCTGTCAGTATAACTATCGTTGATCACCATGATATTTGAAAAAGAAAGATCTATTTCCTTTAACTGCTAAAAGCATACGTGCACGGAGAGATGTCACTGCATTTTATTTAAAAGATGGCCATCTATCGCCAAGGGCTCTAATTTGTTCTAGTTATGACTATATTTTATCATCACATTCCATACTATTCATTTCTGTTACTTTTCTTCCGATCACTAACATCGTTTCAGAAAGAGACATTCGTTCTTATTTTCCACTTTCTTTTTTTGGCTTAGCATCAAAACAGATGAGAGTAATACTTCGGCTCAAACCCTTTTTGTTTCTTTTTCTAAATTGTATGGCCTTTGCGGTTAGAAAAGTTTCTTTTGGACAATCTTCTTAAAAACGAAGAATGTATTCGACTTTTAAATGCTAATAGTAGTCGATTTTTTCTAGTAACATGTACTCGTTTTTTTGGATGTAATTCTAGTTAAACTTGGTTTAACCGTTCTTCGTTTCGTTGACAAACAACAAGAAACATACTTGATAGTTTTAGCTTCTATAAAGCGCAACTATCATATTTTTATATAGAACATTAGAAGTATAGACTGTTGAAATACTTATAAAGAAGCGGCTGTTTATTTTGTTAGATAGAATATTTCATCCGTTTTATGTTTGTTGTTGCTTATTTGTCAGCCAGTTGCATTTCTTTTCTCGTCATTTATTAGTTCGTTTTGAAAGAGCCAATAGAAGAAAACAAAAAGAAAAGATAAAGTATAAAATGCAGAGTGTAGTAGAAAGAATAATTTCGATCTAGATGCAATTTATTTCTACTAAGCTATTATTATATCACCGTATTTTAGATCATGTAAAAGTAATTCTTTGTGTTTTTCTGTTTGCTTCTCTATGTTAATCGAATTAAATGTTTACATCAATTATTTACATTAAAAAAAATTGTTCTCGTCTAGTCTATTTAATTTTTTTATTACAACAAATTCAATGTATAAACTCTCTCCATCTTGTTGGAAAATTCGATACTCATTCATTTTTTCGTTTATTGACGAAATTTGGTGTACAAAAAACGGATCAGCATAATTCCGTACAAACATACGGTTATATCTATGGAAATATATCAGCAACAAATCAACCACTATGTTTAAAATCATCTGAAACACCACTCTCTAAATTATTCGCCAATCAAAATTTATCCACATGTATTAGTAAAGACATCTATTTCACTATATTAGATTATGATTATTTTTCATATTTTTACAAATATCATCATCCACACTTAAAACCGACGAGTGAAACATGCCAACAAATGATGAAAAATATAGAAAAAATTGCTTACGATAGACAATGTTTTAATACAGGCAAAGAAGATTTCTTAAGACGGATACCATGTGAAAAAGGTCAATTGTGTCCTGATGAAGATAAACCACAAAATGTTATCAGTAAACAACAATTCACATTCAAAATACAAGATATCAATCAACCAAGGTATACTGATCACGTTAGGAGTATTACTGAAATATTAACTAAATTTCAGGTGTTCTTAATATTCTGTAGCAATCTTTTAAAGACCACGAGTTCTTTACAATTATCTTAACAATTCAGATTTTTTGAAACAAGAGGGAAGCTTTTTGTCTATCTAGTGAGGGATAAGTTGGCATACAGTCAATATCTACCAGCAATTTTTTTGGTAATAACTAAACTCTTTTCAAGCTACTATACGTCTTATGTGTGTCCGTTTAGAGCTAAAGCGCCATATTTGTTTATTTAGTTTCATATTGCATTAGTCATTTACGTAGTAAAAACAACGACACTTGGATAGATGAAAAGCTTTTTTTTTATTGACAAGTAGACTGACTAAAATGACTTTTTATTTAAAGGTTAGATAATTCTGTTCAATAAGACTATTTAGTTTTTTTTTCCTTCAAAATATTGTATTAGATAAAGTACTGTATGAATGGCATAACAGAGTGTCAAAGGTACACAGCTTTTTAGCAATATCTCGGTTTTGTAGATTTTGGTATTTGAGTTTAATTGCTTGTCATTGGAATGATAAATGCCAGTGGGAAGTAGTGAATGATTCTTATGAAATCGATTATGATATTTGGATAGTAAATGGAAATCCAGAAGCAAAAATTGAAAATCGTTTTGAATATCATTTTTCATATGATTTACATGATATAATTGAAATCTATTTAATTTGTGTTCTGTTATACATTCTGATTCCATTACCATTTGTTCTCTACAATATTCATTCATATCAGTATAAACATCCAATTATTATTGCTTATTTACTATTTCAATTTTTATTTTTTATTGGAAATTTATTTTGTTTACTACACTATCTGTTATACGCTTACAATGGAATTGGACTTTATGTATTTGTACAAATTGGAAACTTGACGACCATTATTGGAGAATCTGTTTTAATTTTATTACTGTTGTTTATAGCAAAAGGTAATAATGCAGACAAAAAAATGTTTTTCATGTACAATCTTTGTTTAGAAAAACTTTTAGAATATTTTAGAATGAGAGAAAAGAATAAAAATGCTAGAAAAGTAAAGAACTTTCGTAAATATGAAAGAATATGTATGATTTGACTAACTTTGTCACTAATTATAGACGTTCGCAAATACACTAAAGCTGTACGTTATCGATGCATAAAAGTCACCATTGAGTGAGAGAAAGCGCTGAGACAAATTTCATATTGTTTTGAACTTTTACATAAAATACTTTCTAAATTGTACTTTTTGCATAAAATTTCTTCATTTAGGTTGGTTGATAAACACAACAAAATTGCGTCACTCGAAAAAGACATTAATATTATTTGTATTGTATACATTTTCGTTTTGTTTCTGTTATATTTTAAGTTATTTCACTATAAATCCAGTTATCGACAGTAATCATTATCAAACATTTTCCAATTATTTATCGTTGTTATTAAGATGTTTTGTTATGTTATTATTTGTCTATGAACTAAAAGAGACAACACGCGAGGAAAAAAATACTGAGAAACTACAGTTTTTTCATCATTATGGAGCATGTTGCATGGTAGATGACATTGTTTGTTCTTAAATTTGTTTTAAAACTACTCTGACTTTTTTTTTCAGGTATGGTTTATCTATCCTACAGCGCTAATCTTCATTATGTCATTTGTTACCGAACTGTACCGTCTAAAATTGATCATCAGTAAGTTATAACAGTTTTTTCTGAATAAAACTTTTTATTTTGTTTCTTTTTTATTTCAGGTGTTGTCACATTGGTGAATTTTTTAAGTGTTCTTATTGTATCTTATATTTTGTTTTCCCCGAAAAGTTTTCTATCTATACCAAAAATATCTAAGCAACGTGTTGATCACGATTGTAGTTCAACAAATTATAATAACAATGGTTTTGTTAAAAATACACCATATGTACACGCCAAATCCGAACTGACGATTGGAAATAGTACTTTTCATGCACATTCGGATGATGACGATGAAGAAGAAGTCGAAGTTTATGGTCCAACTCATGCATTATTGAATAATCAAAATGAAAAAGCTTAAAATTATATCGATATATCATCTTTTAGAGATTGCGTTTTTTTGCTGAAATCAGATATAATAATGCCGACGAAAAACAAAAAACTTGCCATATGTACCAAAGTGTCAAAATAAAATAGTGAAAATTGAACATCTTTGAAGTATAGCTGGAAAGCAATAAATGGTCTGTGACCGAAGATTTTTGCTATTATATTTTGCTTGTAAAAAGAAAAAGGTCTCTTTTTCCAGTGTAATGGTAACTTGTTTGTCGTCTCTATTTTCTACATCTAGATCTCTAATCTCCTTGAAAAAGATGTTTTGAATCAAATAGCTGCCAAAAAGACTAAAGAAGCGAATTTATATTTTCTCTGTGAATGGGATAGTCTTTCGTCAAAAGAGTATATATGTGTTTTAATTATGTTTGATACTCATCGACATATATATATATATATAGAATATATACCATTTATTTTTTTATTATTTATTTTTTGTTTTGTTTTTTTTCTTTTCTGTAATTCGTTATACGTATATCTCATAAAGATCGAGAGAAAAGATTGATCATTTTTTTTTCTCTACGATTCAAACAATTTTCTGTTTGAACTAAAGCTGTTGTTAGTTATTCAATGCTGAAAAAAATTTCTTTCTAATATTTTAGATTCGAAATATTTCTTTTATTGTGTTCGTACAATGATTTTTTTACAATTTGTCTCTTTTAATCGACGTATCAATGAAAATTTTATTTGTCCGTAAAATTAACTATGCATGATGAATACTATTGCAGCAAGCAATGGCTATCATACGTCTTGTTCCATAACAAATGGACTCAGTGGTAAGAAAATATTTAATTGAAATATTTAGCAGTATATATCTTTCTCTTTTCTCTTCTAGACAAATCGACTTCGGCTAAACCAAAAAGAAAAAAATTAAAATCACGGACAACTCAGTCACTCGATCGTGAAACTAATGAACAAAAAAAGTTCCAAAAAACAAATTACATACCATCTTTGGCCGATAAAATAACCGATTCAATCAGAAATAGGTAACAAAAATCTGTAGAATATTTTCAAATATGTTCTTTAATTTTAAAATGGTCTCTCTCTGTCTCTCTCCGAATAGATATAAAGTTAACATGACCACACTACGTTTTGGTATAAAAATAAAGCATTCAACTCTTTGGATCAGGAATTATTAGTATTTTAGTGGAAAGAAATGAAATCATTATATTTCACAAATCATCGAGACAAATAAGCTTAACATGAGCATCTAGTGAGAACTATAACTACAAAATATTTGAAGTCACCAGCTATCTCTTAAACAGAAATAATGGTACTTTTGAAGGGCACTCTAAATTTTCTGTTTTTAATTTTTAGCGATCAAAACAAGGGTCAATCATCTGCCACAGATAGTTTACCTGTTCTATTTATAAAAACAACTCCACCATTAATAATGAAAAAACCTCAACAAACAACTGGCACATCATCGAAACGTGACAATAAAAAAACTGAGATTAATCATTCATCATCTCGTCCATTATCAGATACTGTATCAACAGGCCGTGCTCAGTCATCTTCAATTATTCATACAAATCATTCAATTTATCAGAATCATCTTCATCATAAACTAAGCCCATCTCCACCAGTACGAACACCAACTCAACAACAACAAATCGAACAGCATATTCCTTCGCTAAAAAAGCCTCATATAAACAATGAATATTGTGATTCATGTGGCGACTGTTACGGTGAATTAATCTCGTGTGATACATGTCCAGCAACATTTCATTTATTGTGTGCTAATCCACCACTATCACGAGAAGATGTGCCATCTGGTTCATATTATTGTGAAAATTGTATTCTAAATAAACGAAATAATCCCTCGTCATCTACAGTTTTAATCAATAATAATAGTAACGATACAAATCATCAGCAAAAAACAGCATTCGCATTTGATCCTAAAAAAGCCACAGCAAAATTAAACGGCGGTTATAAACTCGATTTATTTGATATTAAAAAGCCATCGTCATCAAATAATAACACAAGCAATGTTAATCATATCAAATCTTCTAAATCGACAGCTAACGAGTCTCCACAATCGCCTAAATTGAAACCGTCAACTTTATCAAATCAACGTCCACATAAACAAAATTCAGGTAGATATCTCTATCCTGATAGATGAATGATTTTCTTTATGAATTTTCATTAGTTGGTATTGTACTATATATGACATATCTTTTGATTTAGTGTCAAACCATGCTATATCCCACACTATTCAATCTTTTGAATCTCACGAGTTTAAAAAACGTTCAAAGAAGAAGTCAATAACAAATACAAGTAAACGAAAACGAATAGATGATGATGGCGTGTTGATTGAATCGACAGCTCCTTTATCAGCAGCAACAGTATCAGTATCAAATTCTTATTCGTCACCGCCTATTTCTCCCTCAAAATTAAATTCTTCTGTTGAAGTATTAAAACGTTTATTATTAGCGGCTAAACCGGAGGAATTCAAAGGTCCCGCAATTCCTTATGATGTAAATATAACAAATAATCTTCATCCATCATCGTATCTATCAATTAATTCTGTTTTATCAACAATGACGAACCAGTCATCGTTAACAAATTGTGTTAATGTGAATGATGCAAATGATACAGAGAATACATCGACTCATATTTGGCAAAAATATTGTTTTCTATGTCGTCATATAAAATCACCTTCGAATATTCATTGTCCACTTGTTCATTGTGATTATTGTCCATTAACATACCATTTAGATTGTTTAAATCCACCGTTAACATCGTTACCAAAACAAAAATGGATGTGTCCAAATCATATTGAACCAATATTAGATAAAAAACTACTCAAACATTATGGACAATTGACATGTTTAAGTGAAAAAATAAAATTATATAAAAAATTTTCAAATGTACAACCAAATTTAATTATACAAGAATTTTCTCAACTGAGAAAAAATAAAAAATATTTGACATTGTTAAATAAGAATAAAACACATCTGGATCAAATTCAAATTAGTCAAATACCAAAATCAATTAAAAATTATTATAAAAAAATATTTGATGAGATTAATAAACAACAGAAGAAAAAATTTAAAATGAATGATTATGATGATGATACCGATGATGATTTAGATGATAACGAACAAATAGACATGATCGAATATGAACAAGTATGATAATAACCCTTTTGCCTCATACTGTCTCATTTTGCGTATGATAATCTGATTCTGGTTAGAGAACATTGGAAAATTGAAAGAAATTATCTGTTTCTATAATGATATATTTGTCAATGAAATTTTTGACGAAATAAATTCGAAAGGAGAACATTCACTTTTTTTTCTTATTAGAACAGCTACCTGGTTTTTGTTTGTTTAGAACAATGAGAGATGTCAAAATGAACACAATAAAACTTCCACAACTGATCCATATGATGTTGAAGTTTGGAATACAATCCAATTAATTATAGATCATGTCACTGAATTAAAACTTTACCGACCATTAATAGTTGAAACAAATACAAATAAAATGAATGATACAGAAAAACAGCTTCAAAAACAACATGAATCAACAAATACTTTGAATATAATAGATAGATATCTGGATACATTGAATGAACCAAATTATTTTCATTATCGTCCAATTCCAGAACCTATCCATATAGAAAACAATGGTTTAGCTGCACTTGTTGCTGCTGCCTCTTCGCTCTATGAAGAACAACAACAACTAAATCAACCACCACCACCAACAGCAACGACAACAGCAAAATCTCTCAATTCTCAACCGAAAACATCAACCACCAGTGATAAATTATTGTTATCAAATACCATTTCGAAACCACAGCAATCGTCTTCGAAAACAATTCTGCAACCTCAAACTAAAACATTTCAATTATCCCAACATGCTTTCTATAGACAATATTCAAAATCTTCAAATCATTTATCCGCAACAACTGCACAGTCTGATACAATTTCGTCATTATTACGTATTCCACCACATCAAACAACGTCTAGTTCTTCATATCAACCAGTCAAATCAATTTTGAATAACGATCAACAATTCGATAATTCTCTTAAAGTATCACAATCTAAGTAAGTTGATTTTCCTATCTTACGCTAATAGAATCCTCATTTATTGAAATTCGTAGTGTCGATTTGTTTATCAGTGAAGCAAACAGAGAAGAAAAAGATTATTATTTATATTAAAAGTTTTCTATTGTTATTCTTGTTTACTTGAAATTTTATTTTCATTTTAGTACGACACTCTCATCGCATACGCTGTTGCCATCATGTATTACACCAGCACCCTTTATACATAGCGATCATGTTTATAATAAAAGGACAATAGAACCACAGACATCATCTAATACTACCGAAATTAATCAGAAACATGAAGAACAATCACAACAACAGTCGGTTATTCAACGTTATGAATCTATATTAGATTTAGAACATTTTCGTTTATCCTGTACGGCTTTGATTCATACACGTACACAGCAAGTACTTTATCTAAATAAGCGAAATATTTGGTTTGGCTTATCAGTATCAAATGATATATGTCTAACCAACTTTAACGGTTCATTAACTTGTCAGTATGTTAGTGATAAACATGCTTGTCTTTATTACGATGAAAAAATAAATGTATTTGAACTATTAAACTATAGTGAATATGGAACAATTGTCAATGGATTTAGATATGGTTTAGGGTAAGAATTATTCAGTAATAAATTCTCAGTGACATACTTGAAAAAATCTCTAAAATACTTAGAAAGATATCAGGATAAAGAAGAATTTCATTTGTAAAATCCGTGTATGCTGAATCAGGTTATTTACTTTGATCAAATATCCAAAATATGCTTAAAAATTTTATATTCACATAACGTGAATATCGCTCGGACTATGGTGTTTTTCTTCATCTACTACAACATGAGTGTCTATAAGATATTTTATTATCTTTTTAGAGATTTGTCCAGTGAAGATGAAGATGAAGATGAAATAGATAGGAGCAACGAAACAGATAATAGCAGGACTATTGATTCATTATCAATTCCGTTACAACGATGTTATTGTTCATCATTACCAAAATATCATTCAGCATGGGATGGTGCGGCACGCATTGATGCTGGAACAGTAATACAAATTGGTTGTCACGAATTTTTATTTTATCGTTATGTTGTACGATAACATATATGTTACGGACTTCTTTTTCATCTCCATCCATACAGTAACAAAAAAATGTGGTCGACATTGTTTCTCTCATTTATTGTAAATAAAAAATTCTATTTGTGTTTATATGCATTTGTTCTTTCTCTCAATCTGTCTATCTTTTGTTTTTTCTTTCTTAAACGCACATACATACATACACACACACACACACATTCGCAATTTGATAAACGAAATTCGCGTCGTATTTAAAATGGTTTTATGTAAGATTGGCTTTGTTTTTGTTTTCCTATATGAGCTATACTGTTTTTGTTTTTGTCATGTACAAGCAATAATCGACGCCTTTTTATGTTATCGTTGTCGTCATTCGTATTTAAGAATATTTGGTGTACGAAACTTTCTACTCCTAGATTAAAGTTGATGCGGGTTGACTTCCTCTGTTGCTTATTCTGATTACCATAGCATTAGAAAATTATTTTTTTGTTTTTGTCTGTGGTTATCCTTTCGTCAGTTGCTAACTCATTGTTCTCGTAAAACGTTTTCATAAATTCTATTTCTAATCAGAATAATTTCTTGTTACTTTTCTCTTCTTTTTCTCTTTATATATTAGTATTTACGGTATGTTTTTCAGATTCTTTTTTCTTGTTTTTTTCGGTTTTTTTCCATAAATATATAGACCTATATACATAAATATATGAAACTTTGCATTACAAGCATTGATTAGTACACATAGTACTTAATTAGTAACATTGATTAGTATTACTAATCGAACATAGCAGAATGATCAACTATATTTTGAAACTATTATGATGCAAGTATTATTATACAATTTCAGAAATGAAAAGAACAATAATTTCATTTAAAGACTTTATTGAAAATTTTAGGCGTTAATACTCGTTATTGTACAGAATAGAAGTAGATGTCAAATGCTTTTTAAAAAAAATCGCTTAACTAATGGGACAGAACAAGGATGTTATTAAACTGTTATTCTTCCTCGACACTATAAATCTGGGCCATTTAAGTACATAGAACAATCATTTCTGATCAAAATAAAATTGCGATTTTAAAAGTTTCATTTTTGTCCGAATTATACGAGTTTTGATGGAAACAAAGGGAATATATAAGGTTAGAAATTGGCCCACTCTCTTTTTTGAGTAAAAATGGTTTCCTATCGAGGAAAACCGCACCAGCATTCAATTCCAGATGAAATCAGATAGATTTATTCACGAAAATCCCGTTAATTCCTCGACAATAGCATCCCAACCTGCATCCACAAAACAACACCCACATGATAAGTATAGCGTGTTTTTCTCAACTTTTTTACGCTCGTACGGCCAACTAAATATACCATTGGATAGCCCGTGAAATTCTCTACAAACTGAGCTAGTTGGAATGTCTTGATCAGTGAGGCCAGCCACAAAAGACATGCAGAAGAAGCGCTCGAGCACGAAAACATCAGTAGAGCACTCCTTTAGTCAATATTTTTCTCACAACGAAAAATTATATATTTTTCAGAAATATACTGAAGATAGCCGTGAAACGATAGCCCGTGAAACTCTTTTAGAAGTATTTTCTGTCGTAATGAGAAACTATATATTTTTCAAAAGAATGCTATTGAATAGCCGGTGAAATTCTCTACAAAGTGGGCTGGTCAGATAATCTAGATAGGTGGGGTCAATCATTAAAGATATGTAAAAGAAGCGTTTGGGTGTTATATATGCAGTATACTGTGGCATAATCATAAGAAATCCTCTGTTTTTGGTTTTTCAGTAAAAGCTGGAACCAAACCGAATACTGTTTTGAATAGCCAGAAGATTTTTGTATCAGATGAGGTGCATATTTCCATTTTATGAGAAAACTTGATAATAGGGTTTCTGGAAAACCTGACCGCTAGACAACCAAGTGTTTGGAATTTAGTCAGAAAATTTTGCGAATCGTATAGCCCCATAGAGCAAAGAATTCGGTGCAAAAAAAGATATTTCCCGGCTGTCTATAGCGATCTTTCACCGAACTGTAGTCAGTTTACGAACGGCTGTAAAGGAGTGCAAAGTCCGAAAATGTTTCAATCAAAACGCGTTATTCTGTCTAGCTCAGTTTGTAGAAACTTTCACGGGCTATCGAACGGTATATTATTGAAAAATGTATAATTTTTCGTTTTGGCGGAAAATGCTGCCTAAAGGAGAGCTCTGGAGCTCTTTTCGGTAGTCCAACGCGCTTTTTGCAGCTGCAATAAAATGAGATCTATGTTCTGATTAGTTTGTTAACATTAAATTATACCTGACTGGGTGAAGAAATGAACTCATAGGACCCATATTTCAAAGAATTTTTCTTAGCAGTGACCGAACAAGTTAAAATATTTTCCACGAAATTGAGTGATTTATTTTTTGATTGTTGATTTATTTAACATCTTTAATAACAACAACATATTAATTAGTTTTTTGTTGAGTTCAAGGCAGCAATTGTTTAGCACTTGCCAAGGCCATTATCAAATATTTTATTGTTAACAATGACATAGGATTCAAGTACTACTAATCATACAAAAACAGACCCTAATTTCTATAATCATCGAAAATATTCAACATAGAATACAATACATTGATTAATTATTAAACAAAATTAATGTTTTTTTTGTGTGAAGAAAAATACTTTATTTTCAAATTGACAATGTACATGTGATGTATCCTGTACATAGAAAAGCGTAAATCACCGTTATTGCAGTTAAACTAGTAATTTGTTGTTCATTAGTGTATGGTAAATTGCATTTTTGAGTATCTCCCTTCTCTTTTTCATCACTAAAAACATTCGTCCTCAAAAAATATCACCATGCGGCATCTGTTTGATATCAATATATTCATCTACTTGTCAATTGATCCACACAAACAAAAAAATTTGATATTTCAGTATACCGCAGACGTAAATTGAAACTGAGAGTAAGACGTGGGGAATAGAGAGTCTAGACAATTGTGTTATCATGTTGTTCAAGGAAAGGAACAACGAAATAGAGATCAAAATATGCTTTTAAATTAAAGAATCAAACGAACGCTAAATGATCATAAATATTTCCTTTTTGTAATTTGAGTATGTCACTACATCCGCAATGTTGTGAACATATTTTACAATCTATAATAAGCTCATTTTTTCACATCTGAACTTGTTGTCAACAACCATATAAGTATTTTTTCTACAGGAAAATGATAAATAAAAGTACTATGTTTAGGAAAAGTCAGATGACAATCGAAAATCAACTTACGAGGGAAGGTCACCAAGTGTTCCCTCGCTTTTGAGCTGAGACTCAGTTGACCAGGGGTAATCGAGCATGCTGATTCCGAATTTCATAATGGTTTGGGCTAATTTTGACTTTAAAGCCCCGGTTTTTGAAGATCTTGGTTTTCCAGCCGAAAAACCATTTGCGCTAAAAAATTTTTTTGATCTGTCCAATTGATAGAGTACGTCGCGAAATCTACAGAAAACCACTTATCAAGGTTTCATGAGAGGTTCTGAGCGAGTTTTCTACGTCAAAAACTTAAAAAAAGAGAGAAAAAACCGGCTTTTTTACACAGTATAGTGCAAAAATTGCTCTTTTTTTGCCTTGTCTTTCAACTTATCGAAGGCCTTTAATCAATATCGCTGCGTATATGTGTTAGACATGACACACTCCAACAGTTTTCTTCTATATTAGTCTTCTACCTGTGGAATTTGAGATCCTAGATTTTCTGATTTTGGCAGAAAAATTCTGGTTTTTGAACCTTTTTTCCTCGTTTCTTCTTTTTTGTGCCGAAAAACTAACGCATTCCGATTGTTTTCTGCTTTGAAATCATTCTTTTTGATCATTTTCTGATTATGGAATTTTTTTCTTATCTTCACGTTTTGGATCTGATATCCCTGTACGGAATGGTCTTGTATTTTGGAAGATGGTTTATATGACCGATTTTAGCGTATGCAGATCAATGTGCAGTTGTAGCTGAACTGTGTCACCATCGTGGTTAGTGTAGAACAACATTTCTTTTTCAAAAGTTTAGCAGGCCCATCAGCTGTTCATATCTTGTGTTTAACCTTTGTTAATATTGATGCAGCTGATATCGATCTGATACTTTTCAAATCTGTTATGTAAAGCGTTTTCTGTTCTTTCACTTGTTCAGCGAGTTAAAGTGATAGCTGAAAGACTAGTGGTCAAACGATATGAATAATAAGAATACTCGGGAATAAAAAAAGACCATATCCATCTGAAACACATAGGGAGACTAGATACGTACAGTGACAAGCGCAGTATTCAAGAGTGGAGTTTTTCACATATTTAGAATACGATATTTCACATGTCTTTGGAGTAGGTAACCGTGGTCCATTATTTTTAGTTCTCTTAATGTTGTTCTTTTCACCTTATACTATAATCAAGTGAAATTTGATAGTCACTCATCACTAACAAGCGTGAATACTTCGTGCTGTTGTGTTCTATTTTCTAGCCACAAGACATAAAAAAATTCACATTCAATTGGCTTTCTCAGTTTTTTATTGCGGATTAGTGACAAAAATCAGCGTTTGTAGACAGAGTATAAATAGAGGAATTTAAGTCTATCACATTTTCTATTTTCTGTGTGTGCCTCAATCAAGATTGCTAACTTGTCTGATTCATCAAATTTGTCTGATTTTGTGCTTTTCTTGATTTTTACTGGAGAAAATGACCGCTGGAAAAAATATATGCAATACATTCACGTCTATATTGTCCGATTTATTAATCAAGTTGGATTTGCACTACTACAGTCAAACCTATACATCTCTCTCCTATATTCCTATATTGTAATAGTATATGTATGAATTGTAAAATAAGAGGTTTCCTTTAAACACATAGTTGAACTTGAATTCTTTTAATGAACCACGAGGGTTAAGAAAGAATATGTATATAAAAACAAAAAATGAAATTCTCTTTTTAAAAAACCAACGTTTACCTTTTCCTTCTTCATTTTGAGCGAATAAATAAATCTTCTGATTTTGTCTGATTTTTGGAGTTTTTCCTCTAATTTCTTATCCTTTGGAGTTGGTAACCCTGGTCTCAATCAGACAATTAAAACTGTATATGAACAGTTTATTGTCCCTATGAGAAAAAAAGGTTGACAATGTAAAAAAGTATTATGAGTAACGGATCATACCATCAGAGTACACAGGTATACAAAAAATAAATGAAAAAAATGAAAAATGAAGAGAGTAGCATTTCAAAAAAGATAATTATTTTGACACACAAAAACGAATAAATTGTAAACACAAATAAACAATAAAAGTCATTTACGCTCAAGGAGGTTGTAGATAGTACTTATACACGAAAGAAAGAATAGACGAAGAAGAGTGTTTATAGTGCCCAAAATGCTTAGAATGCCTTGAAAGAAATTCGATCTCATCTTATCTTACAAATAATCTATTAAAAAACTTATTATTCTTACGCATGTCCATAGCAAGGCACCAGCTTCTTTGGGGTGTTTTTGCTGCTAAGTAAGACAATTAAAACTATGCAAGAGGCGCTACACGAACTCCTACTTAACTTTTAGATTCTAGTTAGAATCTACTAGTTAGAATCAATATAGTGCAGAAGCCACGACAAGCGTCACAACTAAAATCTTGAGATTGCAACGCTAGATAGTCTGAATGTGCTTTGTAAATTGGAAGAGGTATTTTCCATTTCTTTAGAACTACAAAAATGAATATAATTGCAAGCCAATGAAATAATGCGACTTATTACTTATCCAATACGTAAATACCCAGGTCGACCAAAACGGATATCCGTTACGGACCGTCTACTGGACGCAGGAATACGGACCGTAACATCATTAAAATAGAGCCGTATACGGCCGTATTTTCACAGTATACGACCCCGTATTACTGTGCCCAAAAACGGTACCGTTTACGGGGCCGTATATTGTGAAAATACGGCCGTATACGGCTCTATTTTAATGATGTTACGGTCCGTATTTCTGCGTCCAGTAGACGGTCCGTATATGGACCGTATCGTTCGACCTGGGTAGTACAGACTTCACTCTGCGCACGCTAAGAGTGAACAGTGTCACAGTATGTCTGAATGTGATTATTTTATTGTTAACCACGAGATATTTTCACAGCAAGCGATTGCCCAACAATATCTTAGTCTATAGTAAAAAAATGCTTCTTTAATTTATCATATTGTAATTTATGTGTAAAACATGAAATAAAATTCAATCTTAGTAAATAACATTTTATATATTCTCTCCTATAAAATGACATGTGTTGCTGTGCATGACGGATGTTGAGTATTGTTCGTATTGATAAGATTCTGTTTTATTTTATTTTATGCAGGTATTTGCATGTGTGCAACACTGTTTTCTATGTGTATGTTTAACACGAACAATGTGAGAAGGAACTCAGTAGGACAAGTAAAAGTCGATACATGGAATCGATCAGTGATCTATTTATTAGAATAGAAGTTTATGGAATTAACTTTGCTCGATAAATAAGAGAAAGTATATATATATATTTGAGTTTTAGAGAACAATAGTTATTTCTTCATCGTAGACACATATTAAGTTGGTTCTGAGATAGAAGAAAATTAACGCAGTTATATTTATTAATAAATAGCTTTCACTTGACCTAGTGTTAGTGTAAGAGAAAATAAAACAACATGGACTTTTCATTCCCTTCTCGACATTATTGATAACTACTTTACGCTATCTGACACATGTACCCAGATCATTGGTTATAATGGTCATATACGGCGAATTACGACCGTGTACTGTAACGTAGCACGCCGTAACTTGACGTAATTTGACCGTAATCCTATGCTTCGTAACACTGCAGCCGTAAACAACCTTTTACAACACCGTTTATGGCCATAATATGCTCGTTTACGGCGGCAGTATTACGAAGCATAGGATTACGGCGTCATAAATCGATTTTAACTGGTCTCCTATTGTTATAGACGTTGTTGATTTTCTGCTTTTCATGCAGTAAATAAGCGTTTATATCAAAGAGAACTTGCTATTAGTTCACGCATTCTCTGCTAATACCATCATTTGTTTTTCTATCATCAAAAGTGAATAAGCCCCAAAGATGTCGTGTTGATTGTATTTTCTTTTGATAAATACTGATTTTTTACATATTGTGCGGTTTATGAATATGAATGACAAGTGAATAAATTTAATCGTATTACGAGAACGATCCGAATTTCAAAAGTGTTGTGATTGTTTAAGGTACTACAGTTGATCAAATGTCTAAAGTGGAAGGTAGATCGATAACCGAAAGGCATATTTACGTCATTTTTACGCAATTTCCTCCTTTTCTTATGCACCGTTGTGCAGAAGAAGATGAGTTCTTGTTGTAGAAGTTGAAACTGGCCTCATTTTTAGAGAGAAAACGCTTGTAAACTGCTCATCGGTCGGTTCTCAATGTTATAGAAGAGCGGTTTGATGAAGGAACGTTTTTTTTTGAAATTCAAAACAATAATAACTGTTATAGTCAGTTGGTACTACAACTTTTTCGAAAACATTAAGGAATGCAAAGAATGTATAGAAGAGATATATATTCAATTTTCTTATCTATTTTCACAGATAAATATATAGCAAAAAGCAAATATATAATTAATTCTATATTTTTTTGTCAAAAGGAGAAAAACAGTTGTACTTTAACGTTACTTTTATATCAAGTTGAGGTTTTATGCGTACATACGTCTGGGCGTTCTCAGTGATTGAAAAATCTATGCCAGTTAGAGAAAGAGAATAAGATCAAAGCTCGACCATAAAAACATGTAGTTGAAAATGACGATTGTTTAAATAATGGGACATCATAGAGAAAGATAGAAGAAAGAACAATATCATCATCACTCGAGCGCGATAACAAATTAAAGAGAATGATAAGCCGCTCTACAATTTTCTCCTACAGTGAATTAATTTTCTTTCACTTTTTATAATTATGAGGCGGAGTGAAAATGTTTTATTTTTTATTTGCAGTTAGTTGTTCAGAAAATTAGTTGACCGTTCTAGTTGCACGAAACAATTAACACACTCGCACACAACTTTTTTTTATCACTTGATTATAGTTAACAGCACACGATTTCAATATTACTTCCGTCTTTAAAAGAACAGGAGTTGATTCTAGCGAAATTATACTAATTTTACAGTATGATCGAACGTGTTTCAGGTGTGATTTTTTCCGTGAAATACGACAGAAAACATAGCTGTAGAACAGATTTTCAATGTACATGACGTTCAAAGAAACGCATAATTTCCAAATGTAAAAAATTGTATAATTGAAACTCGAAAAAAGTCAGATATGTTCTTGGAAAGACCTGTCTCATAATATTAGGGCGTAACATTTTTCTTTTTGAAATTAGTATTCCCAGAGGATCTCCGAACTTAGATTTTTAAGAGTAACACCAAAAGACGATTGATTTCTTTTTCATTTACTGTACAGTTCTGTTTGTCTCTGGTTGGTAACACAAAAAGCGAGTTATTAAAGAAAATTACGTTAAAACGTAAATGTGATCGCGTTTCACTAAAACGCTGCGATCTATTTAACGCATAATATTAATATATAGAGAGAGTGAAAGTGAGAGACAATCTTCTCTAATCATATTATATACATAGATCTGATTCTATGATATTCACATGTGTCATTTATAGATTTCGTTTCGTCAAGTATTTTGTCAATCCGCCCCTTTTTTCTTCTCTCTCTCTCCCTTCCTCTCTCCTGTACTGTTCTTTTTATTCATTTCTCTTTTTCAAAAATGTAAAGTTTAACGTTTTTTTTAATCAACCAATCAATCTGATTGAGAGAAAGAGACGTTATATGTTCGTTTTCTGCATCGTTCATTTTCAGTTTAAACATTTCTATAAATGAACGTATGTTGATAAAATATCAATTTAATATATATACTTTATAATAAAAATGATATCATCTGAAAATAAAACTGTCAAGTCAATATCACCAACATCATCAAAGAAATATAACTGGTCACGTATTAGAATCAATCGTCGAAAACAACAACAACAATCAATTATGTTATATTCACCAACCGTTACAATTACTTGTCAAAAATTACTTTGTCCTGAACAACAACAACAAATCATACTACCCGATTTAATTACTGATATATATAAGGAACAAAAACGACAATCATCAATACAAAGTGTTGCTGGAATGTTGAGAAAAGTTGGAGATGAATTAGATGACAGATTACAGAAGGTAGGATAAAGTCACACTATAGAGTGTGCTATGTAGCTTTATTATCAGATAGTAAGATATTTCACTATTTCCTATAACTTAGTTTTCTCGATCAATCATATGTATATTGGATCATCTAAACTCTCTTTCCCTCAACTTAGCGAATCGATCCGTATCGGTTATTATTAATGATGTGTGCAGATGTTGTTCTCTCACACCGGATTATTCTTGATTAATTACTATTAAATATTTTTCTTATGTGATGCAGAACATTTTTATCATCAAATTTGTTTGTTTATGTTTTTTAGACAATTCCACCATCGCGATCGTCATACCCGTCCTCATCATCAGTTTCCATACAAATAATTCAATATGAAAATTTAATTTTACAATATGTGATATCATTCACTCAATTACTTCGACTATTTTTATAACTGCTCGTGTAAATATTAAAAAATACGCGTTTGTTAAAATCCCGGTACAATAAATAAGTATTATTCGCCGTTCTGGTCGTGATCTATGGTGAATATTACAATATTGATGCTCAATTAAATTAAGACAAACGAAAAACAGACATTTATTCTAAGACGTTTATTGATTTTGTTTCTGGTGCTAATCGATACAAATGTACATATAGAATGTATTTTATCTTGTCACAAAATATTTATTTTTCGAGATTCTGTGTATTTAATAAAATAATGTATTATAGAAAAGATCGTTGACATTGATTCTTCAATAACAAAATTCAACGATTCATCAGTGTTCCTTAGAGTTAGGTTAAAACTATTTTAGTAATCTTAATATGAATCACTATGGATAAAATATTCAGAAATTTCCTTAGTAAATCGAGAAGAGACTAAATTTTATCTCTCATTCAAACTCCTACTCCATCGAAAAAAGGATAAATTTTGGTTTTTAAAACATAGGACAACTTTCGACAATCGAGTCTAGACTGTTTTGCTTTGTGTACTCGTTTTAATTAAACATATATTTTATTCAATTACTAATAGCATATCTAGTAGTCACTGCTGCTCTTAGTTTTTTACTCTAGAAGTATTAAAAACTACTTTCTACTTTGGATGAAGATGATATTCAAAATTAATAATCGTCCAATGCTGTAGAAAATTGAGTTATTAAGCTTGATTTCACTCAATATCCTTAAGTTGTTAGACTATTCAAATTAATTTTTAATAAATTTTCTATTATACTTATCATTAGTACAAATTTTGTCCTTTTCTTCTACCTGTGTCTATAATCAATTGTTCATCAATTTTGTTTAACTTAAATATATACAAATGTCAATCAATTCATGTTTTTTTTGTTTTCAACACGTGAGTATATGTATATTTAACAAGTATATATTATATGTAAAGAGCGTGATGTATTTTATTCGAAAAAAAAAATTGAAATACTCGTCACCCTGTCAAACACTAATTGACAATCAAGTATGATAATGGTGATGACATTTCAATTCGATTAATTTTGGAATACCATGTATCTCATTGCATGTGACAACTTGAGATTATCTATGAAATATCCGTAAAATTAATTATCAATTAGTTTTCTATCTTTCACATCAACACTTTATGAAAAAATAGAATATTTATCAATCATTCATGAAAACAATTATATGAAGAGAGAGAAAGATCAAAATATCATTTTATAGTAGACATAAGATCAAAGATTAATGATTTTTTAATTGTTAAACATAGATAACGATTATGATCAGATTGTCGATAGACTACAACTTTATCAAATTTGAAAAGAAGAATTAGTGCCGAAGAACATGAAATTATAAGTAAAAAAAAGAAAAACTGATTATGACTGGTTAGTCTAATTATATCATACACAAAATGATATTGTTTATTTTATGAGACAGGTGAAAGAATTGAATAATGACTTTTTTTATTATCAATGTGCGAAAAATATAGAGTGTTGAAACTCATTTTTCTTTTTTCTCTTTTTTTTTTGGTAACATATGACGACAATAAAATAAGCGATTAAATGTATCATTTGACAGAAAAGCAAACATAATTAAATGTGTACAGAATGATGACAAATTATTTGTTTAAGGTGTGAAATGAGTCCTAAAGGCCATTGAATGAATATTAAATATACACAACATATTTACCTAGTATCTAATAGTGTCAAGAATTAAATCATTTATATCTGACTTGATCATAATGACAATCTTAAAACGTGTTATAATTCATTAGTATAATAATAATATATGGGGGTAACATTGTGATTATATAATACTGATCAACTACTCACAGACATACTATTACTAATTAGTTAAGATCATATATTTTGAACAAATATGTTTATCTACTTGGAACGTGTCGAAATTTATCTTGAAAAAAATAAAAGTTAACAAAATTTGAAGAAAATAAATTTTTGTATACATTAGCTCTAGTTTAATAATAGAACAAAAACAAATAGAAAATACAATCTCAAATGATCATGTATTACAACAGAGAAACTGGTACCTAACTTTGAGAAATATTAAGACTGGAAGGCATTCGAACAATTCTTCATTCTTGTATTATATCAAAATTTGGATCCGAAGTCATGCTGGTATTTTTTCTCTATCCGAAATCAAGGATTATAACGACTTCATTTTTGAATTTTTAAGAATAAAAAAAGCTTTTTCAAATATGATGATCAAAAACACGTGTCACCAACAAATGAATTGTAAATAGTGAACATCTTGTTCACATTTCTCATCTATTTGACTTATACATGAAGATGTACTTCAATAATACTTTGAATCTCTAATTTCTGCCTATTTATGGTAAAAGTGTGGTATAACACTTGAACGTAGAGGTGATGATGATAATAACTTGACGCAACTTATGTGAATTATTTTTGTTAGAAAGAGCAAGAAAAGTGACATGGACATGCATATCAATGTTAGCAAGTTGTGTTAAGAGAAGGTCAAGTATTTCATTTTATAATGTCTAGTGGTGAGATTTGTGACAAATACAAAATCTTGGTAAAAAATTTCTAGTTAAAGTGCTTTTCTCAATGAATGTCAACTGATACTATAAAGAATGAATATCCTGTTTAATCAATTAATGAGGCGTTTTTTAAATATTCAACATTATACTTGTTAAATTGTTGTCGGCGATATTCTTGATAAGTGTTAGACTAGATATCCCAAATAGTGGATATTGATTCGCTCTCTTTGTTGTGACGTGGCTTTTGTCTCTTCTATAAATGTTTTTATTATTGAATTTTGAGAACTTTGATCTTATTGAAATTTGATAATAAGTGTGGTCGTCCATTCCAATAGATCACATATTAAATAGATGAACTCACATGTCAATATTCATCTACTTCAACTTCTGTTTTTTTGTTGCCATTACAGCTATTCATTTCATGTATTTGACATCAAGTTGAAGTGCCATGAAGCGGTCGAGAAAACAGAGGAAATACTCTCTCAAGACATTTTTCTTTTGCATCAAGGTTTAATCAACCATTCCATTTATACCCACTTTAATTCAAATAGAGAATGGTATAAATTATGCATATCACTCAACGCATACCGCCATTGTTGCTCGAAGATATATTGTTTGTTGTTTAAACGACTCTATATATTATCTTCAATATTGTATGATCATTAATACCTACTAATTGAAAATTAATTTCCTCCTTTAATATTATGAATTTTATCAATCTTGACAATAATTAGAGAAATCAAACGTAATAAAAATCAAAACAATTTTTTAATGTAAAAAACGATTACAACATTGACATTGGGTATGAATTTAATTTGCGTATTTAAAGAGTTTTTCCGCTTATTTTTCCATTTTTCGTGTTATGAACATTCTTTGAATGACACACGTAGCTATGTTTACTATCATTAGAGAATATATTGTCAGTGTAATGTTATTTTTTTTCCTTGAACGTGTATCTCACTTTTAAATTATTTTATATAACAAGTGATTATAGCATTTAGCTTCCATATCAGTATGTCATGTGATAGTTGAACATAATTTTTAAATCTTACTCAATTTTAGATCATATCACTGAAAAGGTACAAATGTCAGCGACATCAGTGATGAATAGCAATAACATCATTGAACGTACTAAGTTTTAAGAGAATGGAAACCATGCTTCTCCTAAAAAATTTTAGTCACATCATACTTAGTCATTGTGTTATCCTTTCTTTGTATTAATTATCAATTAGTCCTGCTTTAGGTAACAGCCGCATCTCCCACTAATAGTGTGGAAGAAGTGAAATTTTTTTCTGTTTTTGTGATAAGTCTATTTCTCACTTTTTAACGTACAAGAGTACGTTTTCAAGCTAAATCGAATAGAAGAAAAATAATATTTTCTACAAAACTACGCTTATGCAAAATGTATATGTCTTGCTAATAGATTTTACTTTTCTCTACCTTTTTGTCCACCTCAAGGTATGTGCAGATGCTGCTATGTCTAAGGAATCTAGACACACAATTGTTGATAAGTCATTAGAAAAACAAGAAAACATAATTATATCTTATCAATTTTTTTCTGTTTGAAAAGACAAAATCTCCACCCATTTGATTGTATCGAAAATTAATCGTTTTCTTCCTTCTGCTGGTATGGTGACACACGATTTATATTCTATATTAATAATAGAAACAATAGAGAAAAAGGTCAGCCTGATTATGCACAATACAAATTGGCTCAACATCCACCTATATCTCACCTTCTGTTTTCACATCTAGAAGAAACGCGTTATATACACGTGTATAGTTTTAACACAGTTGGAGTACGATACATGCTAAAGTTTATTGATAAGGCGTCATATTAAAATGTGTAAATTAGCACTTGTCCATGAATTGCATAATAAAATATGCTTATAAAAATGAAAACATGGAGTGAACTGTTGATTAATTTAGTGACTATTTTCTGAACATGCTTTTAATGGTTTAAAAAGTCATCATATGTATATAAATATTAATGAGTTACAATTAGTATCCTCCCGATGACACATACTCCATCCTTGAGTTTAATTTTGAATCTTTGTTCTTCCTAATATTTATATTGTATATTCTGGAAATAATAAATGAGCGTCAAAAGTTAAATGTTTACTTTTTCTTCTATACTTATGAAAATTTACCTTTTATTTTTTACTAGACATCAACACACTCTTCAATTAAGTGTAGTATTGCAGTAAAACAGAATTTATTTTGATAGAGACAAAGTATAACTTTGACATTAATGACGAATTTGTTTTATGATAAGAGTTCAGTACGATACATGTGTATAATAATTTATTATTCAATTTTACTTATCACTTCAATTGTAAAGATTTGTTTGTTATTTTGACAAATTGACTAGTTTGGTATTGGTATTGGTATTGGTATTGGTATACACAATCATAGGCGTTCATCTCTTCATGTATATAAATGCCTCAGGTATAGACAAGAAATTAAAGTCAAACACTCCATACTCTGTAGAAAGAAATGCACCTGTGGCAATCGTAGAATATTAAATGTTTGTATTTGACATTCGATTACTTTTTATAAGAAGTATAATCCATTAATATTTAATTGTTCAAATTTTTTAGTAAATGTAAACAATTTCTTTAATTCAAGTTCGACGGTGAAATTTTATAAATAAAATACTGGTCAGTATCCAAGCTTTATGAATGTTACCAACACTTTGGTTTATCTATTTGTAAGCTCAATATCAATTATATAATATTGTTATAGATTATAAAAACACCAAATCAGTTGACTATTCTACTTCCTAAGATTGAGATACCCCAGAAACAAAAATTAGAAATAAATTCCTTGAACAATAATTGCAATTTTTTCATTTTTGTGTGAAGCAAATAATTTGCTCCCAATGCTTGTTGTTGTTATAGACTAATTTATTCATGAAAAGTGGGAGCCACCAGAGGTTCTTCACCTTTAACAGCGGCTACTGAAGCCAATACAAACTATAAAAAGAGTAACGAGAAACAAACAGAAGAAACTTGAACTGATGCAGAGAGACAAGTAAACAAAGTAAAAACAGGATAAATAAGAAAATAACAAGAAAAACTATAAACTAACACAAGCACCAGTTAAGTCGAACATGGCTGGAAATTATTGTAAAAGATACTGACATATAATAAACAATTTTGAAAGTTTCCGGAAGTTTGTTTCAGTCAGTAGAAATAAACTGAGTCAGTAGAGAAGCAACTGTTTGTGGGGAGAAACAATTTATCAGAGAAGAGATGAGATACAAATATATTTACAACAATGAAGGTAAAAAATAAAAGATGTAAAGTAGAACGTAAAGGAGAATAGTGCAGTGAATAAACAGGATAAAAAGCAGGAGGCTGTATCACAAAAAAACTTGAGTCTGACTTAAGTTTTTTTGTGATACGGACCCCAGGACTAGGACTCTGATTTTTGAAAAACTGAAAACTCTATGGTTCCATCTTCACTTCCCATGTCGTCAAAATCGCCAAGGAATCGTCGACTAAGCGCAATTAATCAGATGAATAATCGTGCGCTTAATCATCAATGAAACGGTGATATTTTAGCGATTTTGCTAATTACGAGGAATTAGTTGGCAATTTTTTTATTAGAGGATCAACTAAGGAATATCTCTATCTTTTCACATCTTAGCAAATGTCTATATAGATATATGCTAACATTTGCTAAGATGTGAAAAGATAGAGATATTCCTTATTTGATGCGTCTCTATTAAGAATTCGATATTTTAACTTTAGATGTAGATTTTAAATTTTTAAATTTTAATTTCATGTTTGTATAAACAGAGCAGAATCAGTCTGAAAACAGTGTCGACTCAAGTCGAACCTCACATTTTAGCGAGTTATATACTGGTGCAACTGAAAAAATGAAGCAAACGATTAGTCGTCTGTTACGGACAATTTGCAAAAATATCCACGCTAAATCGTTGTTCATGAAGAAATCGCCTATTAATTGTGATTAATCGGTGATTTGTTCGAAATCACGCTTTTTCGTCGATATTTTTGCAAATCGCGACTAATCACCAAAATTTAAGCAATTTTGACGCTATGGGTTAGTTGGCTTTGGTTACCTTTCAAATGCTTCTCATCATCTGTTGTACTGCATATAGCGCCATTTTATAGAGGTGCTACGATCAAATTCATTTGATGTGCATCAGTACTTTAGAAAAGTAGAATAACCTCACTGATGGGCTGTTATTGTTCTGCTGTGGCAGGAATAAATAACTTACTAAAAAGCTCAGTATCTTTAAATGGGCAAAACTTCCCTCACATTTAGTTAGTCAGTTATTTGCTCAACTAAAAAAAAATGGCTGCAACTGGTTTTTACCATTTTAATTTAGTGACGTCACAGTAACGAAATGACGTCGTTTCAAAGTTTAGCGGCAAAAACTTATATTAAAAAATCAATTTTTAGCAGAATTAAACTAGCATCATTCAATCGGTCTATCTGATAACATCTGAAAGGATGTCTACTCATAACTTAGTATAGCACACTCACGTGACGAAAGATGTACTGTGTATGACTGTAATCTAATCAAACGCATTTCTTTATTTGAAAGTGGAACTAAAACATGTAATACTTGTTTTTGAATAACAATGCATATATTTTTAAACATATTGTAATTTTTTCTGAGAAAAGGACGAGTTTGAGTGCTCTTCTTACTGAAGAAAAATACTTTTTTGTTGATTTCCCGTTTTTTAATGTCTGTGGGTTGATGTTGGTCTATCACAATCGTTTATTATTCTTAGAATTATTAGGTAAAGAATTGTTTTTTTGTAGAAAAATGCAACAACGATATCTTCTTCGGAACTCAAGTCGTTCAAGTAATCGGGTTATTAACTCAAGAGTGTAAGTTTGGGAAATGATTCTTGTTTACCACTGGCAATAAGTATTCTTTCTTTCGTTTTCAAGTTCCAAGCCATTCTTAACAGAAAAAAAGCCACAAAAAAGACAACAAACACGCACTCGTCGTACAAATAATAAAGTACACCACACAAATGTTGGAGCTAATACTTTAGCAGCACCAGTACATGAACTGATAAGCCATGTCAAATTACCAGAGAAACTAGCAATCGCAGCTACTGAGCATAAAAAACGTCAGCGACATAGCTTAAGATTAACAGAAAAACAACAAAATCATCCAACCGTAGGAATTTCACCATTTAGAAAAGTTCAGACTTCATTGCCATCTTCGAGAGAAACGATAAAATCTATATCAATAATTGAAGGTAACATTAAATGGAACAAACTTTTTTTACCTAGTAAAATAAATGGTTATTTTTTTAGTACCCAGGTGGCGTCTTCTTTCCCCCCATGATGCTGAATCGCAACAAGGAAGTGAAAGTGATGTGGAGGAAGAAGACAATATTATTGAAAGACACCATAAAAATATGCTTGAAGAACAAAAAGATCGAAAGTAAGTCTTAGAAAGACATTGTTCTTTGAGTCTGTTCTAGTAACTTGTTTTTCCATTTTTTTTCTAGATTATATGAACGTTGGGTAAGAAATCAACGAGCATTAAGAAAAATCCAATGTCGTCGTACTCATACACAAAGTTTAGCGGAGCAAACGAGACAAAAATTAATTCGTCAACTAGAAAAAGAGGAGAAGATATTTGTTAATGATAAAATTTGTTCTAAATGTAAGCAACAAGAATAAAGTCGTTTAATAATTTTGACATGTTTCTAATACTTTTAGTGGCGAAATATACATTAGTATTTGAACACAATGTAGAAAATATATTATCCCCTAATTATCATCTGATTGACTGGAAAAGATTTCAAAGCATTCTAACGTAAGCGTTATTTTTGTTAATTGTACAGCTTGATTATCCTACCGAAATTTTTTGTTATTTAGACCAGATGACTTGAACACTGAACTCGATGTTATGATCCGAAATTTGAAAGCTGTTCGTTTAACAACCAGATTACCTAAATCAACTCCGTAGGTGTTAACTATTTAAACTTGTTCACTTTGTATTAGTCATGCAAGCTTTTTCCGTTTTAGACCTATAGGAAACAAACGACGTCCACCTATACGTGAGAGATTAAACGAGAAAGCTAAAGAACAACAATCATTGACTCCTAAAAAAACACGGTATGTACTATCTTTACTTTTATCAGCCGCAATCACATGTCCTGTTTACAAACAAATAAGAAATAACTCTTAGATATAAGAAATGTACCTTGAACAAACTGACATTTGTGTTTAGTGCCGGGATGTAAATGGAATGTGTGATGTTTGGAGTTAAAAACATCAGCATTTTTTCTGAGTAGTAAAACTTCTTTTTCTTTCTGAAGTTTGTTTATTTCCTTTCGTTTATTTTAGAAATGAACGACGAACAACAATTACTAGAACCAGAAGTATCTCACCAAGATCGTCAGAAAACATCACATCAATAATAACAGTACAAAATCCTCAGTTGATATCGTCAAGTCAAAAATTTGATCGATCTAATGTGTTAAATTGTCCTTCTTACACAAAGTAAGTCAGATATTAAAAAAAGAAATATTAGTAGCGGTTTGTTCATTTATAGCAATCTTACATATAGTGCAACAGTCGATTTACGTCCTAGAATGTCTGTACGATTTTTACAACCCACACATCAGAATCGTATAATCTATTCAAGTTCTTTAACCAATAATAGTAATCTTTTATATTCACCGTCAAATAATTTTATCAGTGACAAAACGTAATTAACGTCGTTTATGATAGAGAAAAAGCTTATTGTTTAAAATTTTTATTTTAGTCGTAGTAATATTTCAACAGCAACAACAAATGAAAATGATCGGCCAAGTTCAACGAAAAAATTTCATTTTCAACGATCAAAATCAATTTCAACTGGGTTAGAAAAAATGCTTTCGAAATGGACGGAACATAATAAACTACGGACAGAAATACTTGATTGCGAGATAAGAAAAACATTTATGACGGGGGACGTAGAAAGAAGATAAAAAGCTTGACCTTGCTTGACATCTGAAATGCACGACCTTGCGTTTTTGTTTTCTACAGTTTATTTTGTATATTTTAGCTTTGATATGTCATTAAAAAAACGGACAAGATCAAATGAGAAAGAAAATTGTAATAGTAGTGCTGGTTCTCATTCTTATAGAACGAGACAAACATTGTAAGTACAATGCCATTAAGATAGATTTAGCCTATTACCTCTTCTTTTTCCTCCCCATACAGCTCTTGCGACGATAATATGAGGCGCCAAATGATAAAAAGCAATTTGTGTTTTGTAAATTCCTTTTAAAACAGAAAAGTGTGTGGGGCTGCAGGGTGCTTTTGGTAACAGAGGAAGAAAAATTATCAGTTGTTTTTTTCATACTTGGATTCCGTTATTTGGGTTTTGGTTACATTATTTGTTGTTGTTTTTTCCAGTAAACGTTCATATCCAAATACTCGACATCATATAGTATCCCCGATTACTGTCTCAAACTCAAAACGTCGAAGATTATCGTACGTATATACCTACCCACTTTATATTCGTCAAAAATAAAATTTTGCAATAAAATTTTAGAACATTTGTTCAATGAAGATTGATAGACATTGTACATAATCGAAACTTAAGACAACTTTTGTTCATTTTTATACCAACGTGTGCCTTTTCTGATTATTCGTTACATATTCTTGTAATGCAGCAAATTGTAGTCATCTATTTAGCTCTTTTTTTTTTGAAACAATTCTCGTATTTTGTTCTATTGTGTTTTCGACAAAATCACTTAAAATGATATCTGTTTTTTGTAATGTAAGTTTTGGTTTCTTCTATATCAACTTGTCTTCATTGTTTATTTGTTCTTTGTTTCTTCGAATGTAAATCGATATTTTCTGCTTTGACTATAGGCGTTTGACCCTCGATGGCTTTTTTTAGAAAATCTGTTTCTTTTTTGTTTATTTTGTGTCCCTTTTTATTATGAAATAATTCATTGTATCAAACTCGAGCACGTAAATAAATACACACTGTATAGTTCTGTTGGTCTTTGAACAATAAGGATAGTTTTGTTCTAAAAGGAACTAGAGCCCATTTGATCATAACGAAAAAGCCGTAATCTTATGTCTTTTTTTTTCTTCAAATTCTATTTCTTTCTGTGATGATGGTACAACGTTGGTGGAAAATCCTTCACGCTAGACGTTCACTCAGCTAAACTTTCTATGTTTGCGTGTGTTGCTGCGAAAATAGATGAATAAATTCTCTCTATCCATCGTTAATGATTTTCATTGAGAACATACTAAATGGCATATTTTCTTCTCGTATTTAAGACGTACTTTTCTTCTCATTTATGTATCTCTATATTATGAGCGGAGATGAATACATTAATTTACTATTTCCTAAATTACGTGTACCTTCGTCTAATGGTTACCTTGTGTCTATGTAACAATAAAAATTGTCAATGAATAAAGTGAATCGACCTATAATGAAAAGATTTTGACGTTAAGTTGTAGGTCTTTATTAACAGTAGAATAGAAAGATTCATTCAAACATAACTAACAACACCTAGTAAAGAGGACCTAATCTGGTAGAAATTATTGTCCTTTCGACTGTACCTCTCTTTCCCTACTTGTATTCAAAGAATAATTGAAATATAGACATAATTATGCTGTTTACTTCTAGAAAACTGTTCATTATAGTTGGATAAGTTTCATCGTCAAAGAAATTTTGCATAATGTTTTGTGAGAGATGATATAAATCATTTTCTCTAAAATTTTTTTGATACTATAAATCAATATCTTCTGATCATTTGTTATAGAAAACAGTATCAGTACTTCTCCGACACCTATCTTTCATTTTTCAATTCAATTTTTCAATTCAATTTTTTGGAAAATGTTTTATATTCCATTGTTTACTATGGCATCGGATATAAATCACCTGATAAGACACTGCATGTTATTTATACTATATAGCTATTACAAACTTTTGTAACAGTTGTTTTTTTTTGTTCCAAAAACTGATTTATTTATGTTAACAAAAAAAACTTGATTTTAAATCATTTTTTTCTAGATAGAATAAAGATGCTTGAATTAGCTGATCTGTTTTATGACTGTAGGTGAGTTTATCTTGAATATAATGCCACTAATCGTTACAAAGAGATATTTCTTTTTTTTGTTATAGAGTACCGGAAATTACTGTCCCCTTTTTATTATACGTTCCATTTGGTATTCTATTGTTTCTTCTACGATTATTTATTCTTTCTATTTTATTAACGATATGTTCATTATTGCCAAAAAGTGACTCACTGCAGAAGTAAGTCTGGATCTTTCATTAGATAGTTTTCAGACCAATGAAAATCATTCGCATTCATTTTGCTATAAATACACTGTAAAAAAAAAGCATACTTTTAGAAAAAGCACACTTAAATTGTGCCAATGGCATGGAAAAAGTGTGCCAAAGTATGCTTTTTATGTGCTGCTAGCATGCTTTTTTATGTGCTGCTAGCATGCTTTTACCATGCCATTGACACATTTCTAGTGTTCTTTCGGTACACTGCGGTAGCATTTTTGGACGCTTTTTGTGTGCCACTTCTAAAAGTGTATCATCGGCACACTTCAAGTGCGTCATCGGCACACTTTAAGTGCGCTAATGACGCACTTGAAGTGTGCCGATGATACACTTTTAGAAGTGGCACACAAAAAGCGTCC